AGTCACCTTGCTAGCCCCAAATTCTCTAACCAACAGGAGCCTGTCCTTTGGTCTTCACTTTAACTTAAAATGAAATGGCGCTCCCGGAAGAGTCACACCAAGTTGAGTCAGCAGACCATAAGGCCTCCTTCTTGTCTCTGTCCTCATTTCGCCCCTCTATTTTCCCAAGCCTGGTGGGGTCTGGACTTCTATACCTGGACCTTCAGGAATGCTCAGAACTTACCAGAAATCTTTCCCACAGTCAATGCAGGAAAGACATTCACAGTTTCTGCAGACAGATACATGCTTTTCCACCTGTACTTTCTTCACTGATTCACCGCATGCATTGCATGTAAAAAATACCATTTTTGGTTAAATGGTTAAATATTCTATCTGAGACAGGTTTGAACTCTTGCCCTAAAAACCAAAACAAGATAAAGGTAATTATAATAAGCTAAAACTCCTCCCAATAAATGAATTCCACAGTAAAAAGAGCAGGCTCAAAGCTTACCCGTAATCTTGGAGAAGTACCCTATTGCCAGTGTCAGAAAAACCCTCAGTGCTAGCACAGGCCAGAAACTGTACTGAACCTCCGCAACAAGCTTACCCAGAGACTCAGGGAGTAAGGAACTTGCCCAGGACATCGTAAAAGGATTTAAACCTGGCAGATTGGCATTGGCAGCACAGATAAAGCTTTCACTAATGATCTTAAGCACCCCTCCCCCTACATAAAATGTACAAAATCAAAGAGGTAACCAGTGCCACAGTGCAGGTGTGCAGTGTGGATTGTTACTGTGACTGCAGCAGCAGCAAAGCTGGGCGGCAAGCAGTGGAGCTCAGCAGGTGGAGAAGGTAAAGAACAATTCCAATGAAGACTAAAAATGATTCCTACATGCACGGTAATGGAGTCACAAATAAACTAAAAACATCCTCTTGGCCTCAGTGGACAGGGCCAAATGAACACGTTCCATTAGGGCTTATGCACATCAGGCAGGAAGAAAAGGAAGCTATCACAGGTGATCCCAACCCCAGGTGTGCCAGCCTCCCTAAGTGCACCCAGCACAGAGGGCATCTGCACACACAGCCAGTTCACACTGCATGCATGCTACTGTACTCTGCAAACAGACTTCTAAAGTGCTACAAATGCCACGGTAACTTTCCATGCTTACGTAGTCTTTTAATCACTGGACTCGAAGAGAGCAGTGCTGTTCTTACTAAAATGGGCTTTGTTCAGTCCAAATACTGAGAGCTGCTGAACCCAGAACCCTCCTCCCTCAGTATGAAACGAAGCTGAGGAGCAAGTGAACACACAGGACTTGCTTCTCTGTTTCTTGTAAGAACTCCTCAGCACCAACACGCTGCACTTGGTTTATAGTGAGTTCTCAAGCATGAACCACCATGCCAACCCCCACCCCCACCCGTGCTGGTGAGGTCATGCCAAAGCAAGAACAGGAAGGACTGTTTTCTTCCATTGAGCCCTGAATGGAAATGTACACCCAGGTGTACAAAGTCCCCCTGCCTTGTGGGGCACTGTTGAGACACTGGTGCATCTTATTCGCTAGATACAAACTGCAGGTCCTGGACACCAACATGCCTCCCTCCTTAGCTTTCGAACAGAGCTGATCAGCAAGGGAAGGCATGTGGACGGCTACAGTCTGGCACCAACGGTCATCCGAAGCAGACAGGACCACTCTAGGCCACACGAGTAATGTTGTCTAGTCTGATTTTTGTAAAGACACGTGACAGTCCCAGCTCAGGGAGCTGGGGCCATGTTTAATGTTTCCCACAGCCTGGCTTCTGAGATGCTTACCATCACAGTGCACAAGGCAGACAGAGGGAGGGTTTTTGTTTGCTTGTTTGCTTGCTAGGCAGCAAAGGCAGCAAGCAGTTCTGCTGCACAGGTGAGAAAACTCGGGAACAAGAGCCGACCTCAGGTGTCACCTAGACTGGACACTCTTACACATTTATGTAAGAACAAGACAAAAGTCACTGATTAGATACTAAGAGATGGACTGCTACCACACCCCAGGGAGCAGCTGCTGCGATTAGCTAAAATAGCCACTAAAAAAAAAAAATCAGAAAGCACTTCCACAATGAGGCTGACGAAGAAAACACCTCTCCAGCCTCCGCCACCGAGGACTGCTGTTTCTGGCCAAGGGAGGATCGAGCAGGCTTCAGCAAACCCCGAGAGCCATGGGTCTGTTGATTGGGAAAGGCCCCAAAGGGCACTGGAAACAAGATAGAGGAAGTGACAAAAGTTGTGTGCCAGAAAGTGTGCTTACAGCATCTACACAGAACAGGTCCCTACGGTCAGGGCACAGTGTGAACACCAACTCGGGAAGGTTGGAATCAGGTTATTTGTCCAACTCAAACATCAGTCTGGAGCCACATTCAACTGCTTTTCTATCCACCTGATATGAAAGGGGAAACAGTGTGTCCACCTGCTAGGCTAATGAGATAAGATCTGTAAGGAGCTTATTCATGATCCAGGGAGGACAACCCAGCCCCCAGGGTCACCTTGGCTGTGCAGCACATCCAATCTGGGGAAAATATCTTTCATTTATGAGGCGTATGCAGCACATACTACAAAGAACACTAAGGCTCACATCACAAAAGCCAGCTCAACTGCCCATCCAGCAGGATACTAGTTTAGTCCAGGCTTAACAGCATCACAAGTGTGAAGGCTACAAACTACGAACGGAACCCTGGGTAAGTGAAGCCAGCAATGTCCTGTGAGGTTTCCATTGCTGTGATAAATAAATGCTGTGACCAAGAGGTACCTGGCGAAGCCAGAGGTCAACCTCAGGAGTTGCCCACCTCCTCTCTCTCTTTCTTTTCTTTTTCTTTCTTTCTTTTTTCTTTTTTTTTTTTTTTTTTTTTGAGACAGAGTTTCTCTGTGTAGCTTTGGAGCCTGTCCTGGAACTTGCTCTGTAGACCAGGCTGGCCTCGAACTCACAGAGATCCTCTGTCTCTGCCTCCTAAGTGCTGGGATTAAAAGTGTGTGCCGCCCCACCCCACCCCCGTTCTCTCTCTTTTTTTTAAAGATTTATTTTATTACGTCTATAAATGTTTTGCCTCTATGTATGTGCCTAGTACTCAAAGGTCAGAAGAAGGCGTTGGATCTCTTGGATTTGGGGTGCTGGAAATTGAACCCAGGCCCTCTGAAAGAGCAGTATTCTTAATCACTGAGCCATGTCTGCAGTTGGAGGGCTTGCTGATTAGACCAGGCTAGCTGGCTAGTGAGCCACAGGGATTCATCACCATGCCTTGCTTTTTTGTTTTGTTTTGCTTTGTTTTGTTTTTCGAGACAGGGTTTCTCTGTGTAGCTTTGCGCCTTTCCTGGAACTTACTCTGTAGCCCAGGCTGGCCTTGAACTCACAGAGATCTGCCTGCCTCTGCCTCCTGAGTGCAACCACTGCCCGGACCATGCCTTGCTTTTTAACCTAGGTTCTGGGCAAGAGGATTCAGGTCCTCATGCTTGCGTGGCAAGCATTTTACAGATGGATTATCTCCCCACTCTTAGCATAATTTTAAACTTATGCCCACACACTGACTAGATTTGCCCTAAAAACAGCACATCTTAAAGGCCAGGCTGGCAACTTCAGCACAAGATCCAGTGAGCAAGACACTGCTCCCTTTAAACTTCAAATTCTCCCTATCTATGAAATAGGGACTCAGCTAGGCGGTAGTTGTGCATGTTTTTAATCCCAGCACTTGGGAGGCAGAGGCAGGAGGATCTCTGTGAGTTCGAGACCAGCCTGGGCTACAAAGCAAGTTCCAGGACAGCCAGGGCTGTTGTTACACAGAGAAATCCTGTCTCAAAAACCAAACAAAAAGAATAGGAACTCAGCACACTATACTAGACATAAGCCCCTTCCAGGAGAACTCCCAGAAATCACAAGTGCAGTGCAAGACAAGAAAAGACAAACACACATCTCTCTACCTTCCTGGGACCTGGGGGAAGACCATGAGTCAGGTACCTATTTCCATCAAAGCTCAAAGCTATGCTTCTGCCTTGCAGTTCGAGCCTCCCCACTACAGCCTCACCTGAACAACTACATGTGTTAGGTACTATGGTAGACACCAGGAATCTGGCACAATTCGAGCAAACCCGTGTCCTAGGCCCTCAATGGCTAGAAGTTAGGCTTGCAGGCAACACACACCCCTCTCACCTCTCTCTCCTAGGCGTTAGTTGCTGCAGGAAAATCCTGACATTTTCTGAGCAACTACTATATGTCAAGCTCTCTACCCCTGTAGTCGTCACACACACACCCCAAGTCAGGTTCTCTAGCATCCCTTCTGAACAGACGTGGAGCCAAGCACAACAGAGTTAAGTAGCTTGTCTCTAGTTGGGAGATTTGGGGATTCGCACGCCCTTTTAGGTCTTTGGTCCTCTGTGCTCCAGGAGCCCTCAGGGCCCTCCTCAGGAAGAAGAACCTTCTCCCCATCAGGCAGCAGGTCTGCAGCCCTGTGCTGTGGGGACCAACCATGCCATCTGGCCGGCCCCGACAGCCTCTCTGACTAAAAACCGGGACGCAATTTCTCTCGGAGCTCAGGACTCCAGCCTTTGCCCGCGAGCGGGTCCGTAAGGAAGGCGGCCACGCCGCCATCGCCCTCCTTCCAGGCCCCGGGCTCCAAGCCGCCGCCCTTACCTCTCAGGAGACTCCGCCAACGGTCTTAACCGGCTGCCGGGAGCACGTGGAGCCGCAGCAGCCCAGCGCAGCGCTGCCACCGGCTCTCCCAGCTCACCCGCGTAGAACTCACGCCCGGCCGGCGCGCGCCAATGCGCATGCGCGTCGCGGCCACGCCCCCCGGACGGAAGTGACGGCGCCGGAAGCCGCCGATGAGCTGCAGAGGGGGCGTTGTCGGAATGGTTCCGTGGTGGTTGCAGTCTTGCAGTTGACGCCGAGGGTCTGACGGGGACGAGTGACGAGAAGGCGGCCGGGCGGGGGCGGCCTCCGGTGGTAAGGCGACCCAGGACTCTGGCCTCGCGCGGGCTGCGGGTCAGCGCGGTTGGGATGCGCGCGGGCCTGCTGACAGCGCGGTGTGGCGGGCCTGCTGACAGCGCGGTGTGGCGCGCCTGGCCGAGCACAAAGCTAGGCTCCGGACTTGGGAGCCGGGCCTCCTTCTTGCTGTCACCCTTGCTGCGGTCTGCGCGGCTCTTGGTGCCTGCGTCGCCCCAAGAGAGGAGAGGCGCGTATGACCTGGCCTCATAGCCGCGCGCCGCCTCCTTCACCACGGGGCCATCTGTGCCTTGGCGTCCCATCTGCAGAATGCTGTGACTGCAGCGCCTACTCCTCGGGACCTTGTAGGACTAATGAGTCGGTGCAGGTCAGGTGCTGAGCCGGTATCTGCAGTTGAGTAAACATGAGCTGTTCTCAGCCCCTAAGACAGCATCTGGTATACGATAGTGGTCACTGTTTGTTGCTTAAATGAGTGAATGAAAGTCAGACAGGCTATGAACAGTATTCTGAGAAACAACCCTCCGGTGGGCATTTGTCGGTGACAGGGAGGTTTCCCTCTGTTTATTGTGGCTGCCATAGCAGGATACAACAGCTGAAGTGGTTCAGGTGGGAGAGATTTACTTTCTCACAGTTATGGAGGATGGAGGGTCATGGATGTGGTGTCATCAAGTCTGCTTGCTGTAGAGGACCGGCCTGGCTTACAGGTGGTCACCCTCTTGCTGTAGCCTCGCATGATCTTTCCTCTGTGCCACTACACCACTAGCATTTCTGCTTGTACTCACATCTGCTTATGTAAGGACATCTTTCAGATTGGAACAGGGCTCATCTTAATGGGCTCTTTTTAACCCACTTGCCTTATTGAAGGTCTGATCTCTACAGGTAATCAAGTTCTGAGGATCTGGGGAATGTGATGGAATACATAAAGAGGCCATTTTGGTGACATGCACCTGTAATCCCAGTATTGGGGAGGTGGAAATAGGTGGGTCCCTGGGATCAGTGAACCTCTCTTCTGAGTAAGAGACCATGTCTCAAAAACGAAAGTGGGGGCTGGAGAGATGACTCATTAGTTAAGAGCACAGGCTGCTCTTCTAGATGTCCTGAGCTCAATTCCCAGCAAACACATGGTGGCTCACAGCCATCTCTAGTGGGATCTGATGCTCTCTTCTGGCATAAAGATGTACATGCAGATTGAGCACTCATTCATAAAATAAATGAATAAATCTTAAAAAAAAAATGAAAGTGGACAGCCTCTGAGGAACAATGCCTCAGGTTAGCTTCTGGCCTCCACACATATGCACCCATGTATACACAAAACATGCACGCATATCTGCACATACATACAGAAAAAGAAATAAAGATAAGCACCTTAAGTAGCAACTCCTGAAGACCTCTTCTTGATATAAACAGCCCCACAGAAAATGTTCCACAAATCATCTGCTGGTGTTTACTACTTGGCAGAATCACCTCACTAAGCAGAAGGGCCTTTGCCGTGGGAGCCTCTAGGTCAAATTCCATTAAGGCTCCTTTTCCCTTGAGAAGCCCCTCTTCATTCACATCATCCAGGCTTTTTGTTCTGTTTCTCCTTGCCTTCCCCTCCCCCTACCTTGGTATTTTTATTGTTTGATGTCTTTCACATTGATCTTTCTACTGTCATATTCTTGATTTAGATTTTAGCTTGCTGAATTAGAAGGAACCCTACAGTCCTCTAGTTTCCTGCGGTCACTCCATCCCCAAACTACACGCTGAGCACCTATAAAGCCCCAGACACTTACAGGTGTCAGAGCTACGGTGACCAGTGAAGCAGAGGTGGGCCAGATCTTTACCTCACAAAGACCATTGCTTCTGACAGCTAGGTTGCTCCCCCCAATAGTCCATTCTGCTGTGAACTTATCAGTGGATCAACCTGTTGAGGAGATTTATACTCTCATATCCACCTGCCTCACATCTGAACTCTGCTGCACTGAGGACTAAGCCTTAACTCTATTATCATTGGGAAAGATTTCATGTCCAAACTACCTCAGGGCTCAGGGGTACTGTTAAAAGAAGCTCTTGAGTTTGGCTTTGTGGGTGTGACTTTGTCTTCAGTGTTTTTGCCCTAAATCTGAAAGAAACCCATGGCTTCTTTGGTGCTTAGTTAGGGTCTCTGCAGGCTTTATAGCAGGCAGGGAAAAACAATCAGGGTGTGTAGACAGATTTTTTTATTTGGGCTGCCAGCACACACACACACACACACACACACACACACACACACACACACACACACATACACACAAAAACCCAAAAAAAAATGTCGCAGACACTTAATTTATTATGAAAGCTTGTATGGTGATATTTTATTTTGTACTAAAATGTTATTTATATGTTAATAAAGTTGCCCGAGGGTCAGAGCTATTAGCAAGCCATAGGAAAGCTGGGCGGTGGTGCACGCCTTTAATCCCAGCATTTGGTAGGCAGAGCTAGGTAGATCTCTGTGTGATCAGGGATACAGTCAGCACTGGAGACACACGCCTTTAATCTCAATACCAACCATAGAAGACCTGGAGGTCTGTACAGACAGGCAGTGACGAGGCGGTCATGTGATTGGGTTTACAACCAATGAGAAGGCAGAACCGAAAGTCCATATAAAGACTTTAACACAGGAAGTAGCTCTCTTTCGGAGAGGTAGTACCACCGCAAGAGGAAGGGTAAGGTTTTAGCTCTTAGCTCTGACCTCTTGGCTTTCTTCTTTGCATTGGTTCTGTGTTTCTTATTTAATAAGACGGTTGGTTACATCTACAAGCTTCGCCTTAGCTTAGGCTTGTTTCTAATTAGCTTTTATAACTTAAATTAACCCATTTCTATTTAATCTATGTGCTGTCACATGGTTCGTGACTTTTACCTCTCCTCTTGCATGTCCTGCTTCTTCTACACCTTTCTTCTTCCCAGAGCTCTCTGAAGTCCCGCCTAAACTCTTCCTGCCTAGCTATTGGCATTCTGCTCTTTATTAAACTAATCAGAAGACACCTTGGCAAAGACACATCTTCACAGTGTGCAGAAAGATTATTCCACACCAAGGGTGAGGGAAGAACAAAGCTCGGAGCAGCCTGGTTTTTGTAGCTGGTCCTGGGCCAGGACTTCTAGAGTCTGACCCAGATCATTTTACTTTAACTGTATTTAAGTACAGCACAATTTTGGGGGAAAAAAGTTTTCTGATAATAAATTAACTCAGTCCCAAGTGCACAACTAATTTAAGGCATGTTTATATTGAGATTCTTTTTTTTAATATATATATATTTTGAATGGGGTTTCCCTTGAACTCACAGAGATCTGCCTGCCTCTGTCTCTTGAGTGCTGGGATTAAAGGCATGCGCCACCACCGACTGGCACATTGAAATTTTTTACAAAGTACATCTGGCTTCTTTCACAAAGATGGATACAGAGAGTAACTCAGAGATAGTGCCCAAGATTTAGGGTCTAGGGAGATTGACTAAGGTAAACATAATGCCTGTGGGTGTCAGGACTGGCCTGGCCCTAAGAGTCATAGACGTCACTTAGGCTGTTATACAAATGACATCTCTCACAAGGATGAGTTTTATGGCCTAGAAGTAATGCTCAAAGTTTTAAGGGGAAAGGGTCTGGGATAAGTAAAACATAAATTCTGGAAGATATGGTCAGGGCCTGGTTCAACAGGTAGCAACAGGTTACTAGGTTGTAAACTACATTTCCTCCTAGAGTTCCAGGAAAACAACTAAGCACCTCATTCCATTGAAGAGGTAAGCTGTGTGTTTAACCTTCCTGGCTTCTCCAGTGCTTAACTGTGGGCACAAGGCCATTTTGTCCTCTACAGTTTAGTGCACCAGATTGCCATTTGGATCCTCAGTATCCTCCTGTTCCTCCCCCTGTGTTTGGATGCCAGAGGCTGCACCTGATTTCAGCTGCATGCCCCCATGTCTAGCCGTAATTGTTCCATTAGCTGTGCACTGCCCTCACTAGAACTGAAACTTCCAGGACACCTGCTGTGCTCTACTCACTGTTATTGCCCCAGAATATAGTACACAGTAGTCACTCAGTAGGTAGATGGGGAATGACCAGATTTTCTGTCTCCTTCCCAATCAGAGTCAGTTGTCATAAGGCATGAAGCTCAGTGTCGTCTGTCCTCTGCCTCTCTGGTATGCCATCTACTATGCAGCCATACTCTGAAGCCCTGGAGGTCCCCACACCAGCTGGTCACAGACCCCAGTAACCTGCATATCCCATTCTCTTGCTTCCTCTATGTCTGTGAGAGGCACAGAGGCACATCTAAGCGGATGTGGTGCTCTGTGATACTGCTTTGCTCTCTGTCTGGTGATGGTAGTTATTTTAACTTGTATCTTACCTCCCCAGATAGGTTCCTGATCTTCTCGATCTTTGAATTCACTGACCTATGTATAGGTGTGTATTGTTGCTATAACAAAATAGCCGACACTAGCAACTTAAGGAAGGGTTTTTTGGCTCATAGTCTGAGGATGCAGTCCGTCATGGAGGGAAGGCTTGGTGGCAGGAGCGAGAAGCAGTTGGTCACATTACCTCTGCAGCCAGGGAGCAGGCAGATGCATGCTGCTGCTTGACTGCTTTCTCTCTTTTATTCAGCCTGGGACCCCAGCCTATAGGATGGTGTCACACACATTCAGGATGGGTCTTCCCTGCTCATTTAAGCCTTTCTGGAAGTGCCCTCAGACACCAACAGGGGTGCATCTCCAGGATTCTCAGTCCCATCAAGTTAAAGGTCAAGATTAATTATCACAAAGTGTTTAATAAGTATGGGTTTGATCTTAGCTGATTGGCTTTTTTTCCTTTATGCTTGTTTGTGTATGTGTATTTTTTATTTTTAATTTGGCATATTCATAGTTGGCCATAAAAGAAATGCATACACTCTTATCACAGCCGCCTTCTAGGTTAGCAGACTCAGGTGCTTTGGGTTTCACATAGCTAATGGCTTCCATAATGGATCAGTAAGAGGAGACATTTCCATGTTGCAGAGAGGTGGGCTGAACAGCTCTGAGCTAGATGCTGCAGTCCAGTGGGTAGGTGTGTGTTTTAAGCTGTGACTTTGATGCGCCACGATGAAAGCCAAGAGCAGTTTGTGCTTTTGGGGTCCCTTTTATCCCAATGGTGTTCTTGAGAGGCTCTCACCTACATTCTCTGCTGTAGGTCTCATGGTCTAGTATGGACCCTGTTGCTATTCACAGCTGCCACCTCCTCCAGCAACTGCGAGAGCAGCGGATCCAAGGCCTGCTTTGTGACTGCATGCTGGTGGTGAGGGGAGTCTGCTTCAAAGCACACAAGAACGTGCTGGCAGCCTTCAGCCAGTACTTCAGGTGAGTACCTCACACTGTGTCCTCCACTGCCTGGGGAACCTGTCAGGAAAGTACAGTGGCCACATTTCACTTTTCTCAGGGATTTTTCTGTCTTCCTCTTTGGAGTTTAAACAAAATAAGAATTTATGGGTTTTCTTATTTCTTTAAATACTATCACTCTGTTTAGAGTAACCTGAAAGGAAAAGAGACTCTAGAGTATATTGGGGATGACTGAGAAGAATTAATTTCAGTATTCGCTCTTTTTTATTTTCACTTTTTCTGAATAAAATGATTGAGGAATTGAATCTGCGATAGGAATTTTGCTGCGATAAGAAATTAGAGTGGAGAATGCTGGCTGTCTTGTGCACATCTGCCGTCCCAGCCCCTGGAGGCCATAGCAAGAGGATAGAAAGTTCCAGCCCAGCCCGGGCTCATAGGGGTGATTCTGTCTGGAGAGAGAGAAAGAAATCAGCAGAGAGCAAGTGTTCTGCATGCTTTTCCCCCTTCGTGGGTCCCTTCCTACCTATCTACCTCCCTTCCTTCCTATATTAAAGCGGTTCAGTTTTTGTCTCTCATTTGAACGCTGTAAGAAAATCCTTAGTTCAGCTTCAACTTAGTTATCCCCGCCATTATTTTGGACTTGTGTGATTTACTTATATATGCTGACTAACACCAAGCAGTTGTGTTTCATGTCACTAACCTTCGTACAATTACCTGTTCTTTAGAAGTGAATTCTGGCTAGCAAGTCTCTCTTTAGACACCATGCTCCTCTTTGGTGCACATTCACCTGCTCGGGTCAGCAGTGTGTGGAAAGGGACCTCCTCTTGCCCTGATAACCCTGCATCGTGGCATTTAGCCTTGGCTCTTGTGTGCACTGTAAGGACTGTGTTACTGTTACACACTCTAAGGACTCCGTTCGGGAAGGTAGGGAGTCCCAGACCCTCGGGCTCTGCTGTCCTGGGTTTCTCTGTCTTCCAGGACACTTAGCTCTTGCAGGTGTCCTGTGTTGGTTGTTGTAGCTAGCATAAAAAGCAAATGCTGTTGGGAAACAGGTGACTGGACAAAGTGTCTGCAGCGGGTTTGTGAGACAGTTTACCCGAGTCATCTTCTGAAGTTGTGTCCCACACCATTCCCTCTCTTATGCACTCCACCCAGCTGGAACAAGGAGCCGGGCCTCATAGGCCTTTTCCTTCTCCAAGTCAAGGTGCATTTCTTTCTGTTGGTTTATGGACCATTGAGTCTCTGCAAAAGTTAGCAGCCAGAAGGGCATGGTGGCACACCAAGCACTGGGGAAGTAGAGGCAGGTGAGTCTCTGTGAGTTCTAGGCCAGCCTAGTCTACATGGCAAGTCTCCAGCCAGCTAAGTCTACATAGTAAGAACCTGTTTCAACAAAGCAAAAACCTAACCAAGACAAAATACCTTAGCAGCCAAATTATAGGTTACATAGTGAGTACCTACTGAGGGTTGGTTATTACCTTTACCTTTATCTTTATCTTTAGAAGGGTTTCAGGCATATAGGTGTATAAATGCTTATTTGTGTGTTATATGGTGTGGACTGTATTGTGTCAGACTAAACATACAAAACACGGAAGTACGTAATGTCCTTTTTTTTTTTTCTGTACTCTGTCTAATTGGTGCATGTGGTTAATTATACTTCAAGCAGTGTAGATCATGTTCCATAGAGTGTTTGCATGAGGACCTGAATTTGATCCCAGAACCCACATGAAAAATCCAGGTATGGTGGTGCATTCTTATAATTTCAGAGCTGGGGAGACAGAGACAGGTGAATCCCTGGGGTTCACTGGGCAGCCAACATAGCCTTCTTTGCAAGATCTGGGCCAGTTAAAGACTACATTCTCTTAAAACAGAGTGATGGTGCCTGAGGAACAGCATCCAAGGTTGACCTCTGGCCTCCACATGTGCATACACACACATATTATATACACTTGAATATACACACTAACTCAAAAAACTAAAAAAAGGAATAAAAGTGAAATAACTTTAAAAATAAAAACATTAAACTTGTGATAGCCAGGTGGTGGTGGCACACACCTCTAATACCAGCACTCAGGAGGTAGAGGCAGGCAGGTCTCTGAGTTCAAGACTAGCCTGGTCTACACAGAGAAACCCTGTCTCTAAAAACAAAGGAAAAAAATACTGTGACAACATCTTAGCATTCATAGATATTTTGTATATGTATGAACTTTAAAAGAAAATGTTAACAGAATGTGAAAATAACTAACCTTCTTTCTTTTGTCAGGAGCCTTTTTCAGAATTCTTCCAGCCAGAAGAATGACGTTTTTCACCTGGATGTTAAAAATGTGAGCGGCATAGGGCAGATCCTGGACTTCATGTACACGTCGCACCTTGACCTCAATCAGGACAACATTCAAGTGATGCTGGACACAGCGCAGTGTTTGCAAGTACAGAATGTTCTGAATCTGTGCCACACGTTTCTGAAGTCGGCCTCTGCAGCACAGCTGCCAGGCTTGTCCTGTGCTGGTGCCTTCTCCCTGCAGAGTGTGACTCTGGATGGTCCCTGTACGGTAAATGAGCACTGCCCACCCCACTCACTGCAGGAGTGCCCTGCGGAAGGCCCGCCTGCTAAAGTTCTGCCTGAACTGAGTCCTCATGCTCCATCAGCAGGTTTCAGTGGTCCCACAGGAGAAGTCTCCAAACCAGCCCCGGATGCTGCAGGTGGCAGCTGCCCAGAGCTGCCCTGCAAGCAGCCCAACTACTATTACAAACTCAGAACTTTGTACAGCAAGCAGTACTACAAGCAAACGGCCTGCCCCAGCCAGGCGCCTGCCACCGAACAGCCACTCACTCTCGGGACCTCCACAGATGTTGCTGCAGCAGACTCACAGCCTTCCGTGGAGGGCCGTGCAGGTGTCCTGGAGTCTTCAGAGCAATTGCCTTCCACCTTCCTGGCTCCACCCCTCAGGAACTCTGGCATGGACTCGGAGGCAGACCCCCTTTCTCAGCCACCTGCCAAGCAGATGAGGCTGAAGAAGGCCATGCACCTGAAGAAACTAAACTTTCTCAAGTCACAGCAGTCGGCTGTTGTGAGTGCGTCTGAACCAGATACTAGGTTGGTCAGGAGGGAGGAATCTGCTGCTAAGGAAGATGGGGCCGAGAGAGCCAGAAGCCCGACTCCTGAAGAAAAGGGGAGGGAAGAACTGGGTCCAGAGAGCAGCCATGAGGTGGAGATTCCGGGAGCCCCGGCCACATGGGAAGACCCATCCCAGGGCCTCCAGTCCCAGAAGCAGTACACATGTGAATTGTGTGGGAAGCCTTTTAAACACCCGAGCAATCTGGAGCTGCACAAACGGTCCCATACAGGTACACTGCCCTGAGCCCAGGCATGGAGAAGGAAGCAGCGCCACCCCACCCTCTGCTGGCCTTATCTGTAAGACACTTGACTCCTCAGTGGAGCCACTGATGTCTGTAACGAGGCTCCGGGGTGCTAGCTGCCCTCCGCTGCGCTTCTTGGTGATCTGTGCGTATGTTCTGTGTAGGTGTCGTCAAGTTGCTGTGAAGAGTTGGCATCCTTTCATGAGCAGTTCCGACTGTCTAGCTCAACAGTCAGGTGCTCGGACGCACTCACATTTCTAACTAACTCAGACACACGGTGCTTAGTTGTCTCTAGGGTGTTCTGCTTATTTTCTCAGTGGAATGTAGACTGATAGTAAACTGTAACAAATTGTACTGAATCATTCTTAAACTTCTCTCAGAAGTAATTTTAATTTGAAAAGTTAGGATTTTGGAGGCAGGAGGTAAACTCTTAAATAAGAATCAACTTTAACAATTTGATTTTGTTTGTTTGTTTGTTTTTATTTTAGTGGTACAAGGATTGACCTTGCACATGCTGGACAACTGCTCTACCACTGAGCTGTGTCCCCCACCAGCCCCACTCTGTATCTGATATTTTCAAATGAAAATTCTTCCACCTTAGACTTTGAACTTCTAATATATGATACACATCTGTATAATACACTGTGCAATACTTGTACCTTGCTCTCCCCTGGTTAACTGTGATAGAATTATTAGTGCATCATGAATTAGTAACAGTTAAGGTATAACCATGAGCTGAGTGTAATGGTGCACACCTTTAATCCCAGCACTCAGGAGGCAGAGGCAGGCAGATCTATTGTGAGTTTGGGGCCAGCCTGGTCTACATAGTTCCAGGAAAGCTAGAGCTACAGAGTGCGACCCTATCTCGAACCACCTCCCCCCACCCCCCAAAATAAGGCATAGCCATGAGCAGTGACACACAGCAGCATGCTTCCAGATTGCCCTGTTGGCATGCTGCCAGCTGTCTTCCTTGGCATGCTCTTCTCTTCCCACTTCGGACTTCTGGTTTGCTCAGGTGATTTCCACCTCAATGCATCAGTGGAGACACTTTCACTATTTGTAAAAGTCCTTTATAGATGTCAGTGTATTCAAATGTAAAGACTGTCATTATTTCATTACTAGTGGTTCAAAATGAGACCAGGTAAAGACAACCCTCACTCAGTCTTGCTATGAAAACAACTTGACTTAAATCATTTTGTTAGCTTAATTTTCTACAGCCTGAGGAATACTATCGGTTTTATTTCATTTTTCTTTTAAAAACTTAACTGTTATAGCTTTAAGGAGAAAAATTAAATTGCTAATTCTGGAGAACATCTGTGAGTGACAGATAGTCATAGGGCAGAGACACTTCCTCGGACATAAGTGCTGCATTGAGATGGTAGCAGAGCGTGACCCGGATACCAGGGATCTATGAGGCCAGAGCTGTTTCAGAATGGTGCAGATGCTACTTCCTTCCTCGAGGTGTGCTGTGGAAGCTGCCAAAGGCCACATGGTGTGTGATGATGTCCTACTGGTAGCCAGTAAAACTTGTGTTTCTCTGTCTTCAGAATGCCTTCTGTTTTATTTCTGATGTGTATATGTTGATAGCCACAGCCCATAGGACCAAAAGCTCTGTAAAGCCTCAATTTTTAACAGTGAAAAGAGCTTCCAAGACCTATTGGAGTATGATTGTTAAAACCTTGGTCTTTTATGACCCATGAGTTATCTTTTTTAAAAAACAAAAACAACTCATCTCTCTTTTGGGGGCTGAACTTAACATTATCTGTTACCCCAGTAATTACAGAAAGAAGGCAAAACACAGGCTTACATGGTGACAGTCATCCAGGGCTGAAGACTAGCTTAGTGCAAACCCAGAAAGCTGCAAGCTGGTATTGCCGAGGCCACAGGCCCTGTATATAGAAGAACAGTGGTGTTACTTTTAAGAGCGTCTTAATGTAACCACTTGAATTGAGGGGAGTAGGGAAGTGGAGTTTCTTGGGGGTTCAAAGGCCCATGCAGACTAAAGCCGGCACCTTAAAGTACACCTTCCAGCAGACCTCTGTGCAGAACAGCTGCGGCTCCAGTCTATTCTGTCCCAGACTGCAGTGCTTTAGTTACTGTGCTCAGTGGAGAAGACAGCAGACCACACCTCTGTGCTGTGAAGGCCCAGTCTCAGCTAAGGCAGGGAGCCAGTGCAGAGGGCTGCTCCTCAGCCCACCTGTGCCTCACCCTTTGGGCCCCAGTGTCCACAGCCCCCATGGTATGAAGGGACTGTGCACTCTGTTTGGAGTCAGAGGTCAAGTAGAGAAATGTCCCATTTGGTTTTGTGCTGAAGAAAAAAATAGGCGGTCTTTTTATTTCACCATAGGTTTGTATTTGGAGAACAGTTTGACTTTTAGATGAAGGTAAATAGTATAGCAGGAATCTTAGAGAGTCTTATTAATAAAATCAAACCCGAGGCCAGTTATTGGGGTCAATGCTGGTAGATCAGAGAGACAGAACAAGCCACAGCTATCTCACCTTGCCAATTCCTCAGCTGGTCCTGTTTCCTCAGACTGGAAGCCTCTGAGTCCTCATCCAGAATGAATCTCAGCTGAACTGTGTTGCTCCAAAGCCTGAAAGCTTAACCAGCCAAAATGCTTAACCAGCCAAATGCTTCTAGTTTCTGGTCCTCACGCTTTATAAACCTTTCTGCTTTCTACCACCACTCCCTGGGATTAAAGGCTGCTTTCTGGGATTAAAGGCATGAATCACCATGCCTGGCTGATTCCAATGCGGCCTTGAACTCACAGAGATCCAGAGGGATTTCTGTCTCTGGAATGCTAGGATTAAAGGCGTGTGCTAACATTTTCTAGCCTAAGTATCTTGTGGCTTCTCTGTTCTCTGACCCCAGATAAGTTTATTAAGGTACACAGTATTTTGGGGAACACAATACCACCACAAGATAGATTTGATTTTATCATCTTTCCGGAGAGTCTTGGGGTAAGAGATAAGTATTTGGAAGTAGAGATGCCCTGTGCCCACTTTGGGGATAAAGACTGTCATGGGCTGGTGTGGTGCCTCTCATATGCTATTCCAGCATTCAGGAGGCTGAAGCAGGAATTGTTGAGAGTTTCAGGTCAGCCTGAACTGCAGAGGGAGACTTTGTTCCAAAACAAAACACAGAAGAATGGAATGGGCAGCTTGGAAAGGAAAGACGCAGGGGATCAAATATTTTAACAAAAAGGAATGTGAAAATTCTTGTACTGATGACAAATTGTTGTGTTTTGCTTTGTTTTAGGTGAGAAACCTTTTGAATGTAACATTTGTGGGAAACACTTCTCTCAGGTGGGAATACTCTTTTTAATGTTGATAATTGGAAGCCTAAACTCCATTGCGTATTTTATTACCAGTGAGACTCACTTTTGTCCATGGGAGAGAAACCTGTGGTGGTAGTTGCACAAGACTTAGGGCTGGGTCAGAACACGCATTTCTAGCACATTAGAAGGTCTACTGCTGTGAGAGCCGTCAAAGCCCCTTTTCCTTTTCTGCACTGAGGATGGGTCCTGCCCTGGTGTCTCTTGAAGTTCCCAGCGGTCCACACCGAGCTTCCCTGGAGCCGCACTGCATGCTGGGTTAGGTCCAAGACCAATAGTCACTCTCACTGCGACTGTAGGCAGGATATTGGACAAGAATAGACCAAGGCATTTTCATTCCCTACTTTGACTGCAGCCTTTGATCTGACCTCCAGGAAGGTCATTTGGACATGGTGGAGTTGTCTCACATTTATTGTGCCTTGCTGTGGCAAGTACTGTGTTGGGCTCAGACTCAAACACCTCTACATAAAGTGTCCAGTATCATAGCCTGGCTCTAAGCAGCTGCCGTTCCCTCTGAAATAGAGTGTCCCTCTGTTCATGGTCACGTTCAGGGTCCCAGACTTCCAGAGTAGGACTGTGCAGGGTGAACAGCCAGCATTGCTGTCCTGCTCAGTGCAGTAGCTCCGTATTGGTGCTGTGTGAAATTTTGCTCAGGCTGGAAATTGCTTTGGGCTGGTCCTATAGAGCTAGAGACCGTGATGGCAGGGATTGGGAAAGAAGGCCCACGGTCCGTGGAAACAGTGAGTGCCATTTTGTTACGCACCCTCCATGGTTTATTCAGAGCCCATTGAGGGTGTCAGTTGCATCTTGCCACGCACTGGCACCAGCTAGTCTGCTCAGTTCACTCTTACTCTCGGTGACTCCCTGCATCTTCCCACGGTTGGCCCTGTCTTCCCAGAATGATGACTGTGGGACAGCATCATGTCTCAGTATCATCAGGAGCCAGCCCCTAGCTCTGGACAGGTGTTGAGTGTGCATCCCTCTATCACCATTCCTGGGGAGACTTTCACTGCCTTTCACCTGGGTACCTGGAGTGCAGAGCTTGACCTCTGAAGCTTAAGGGTCTGGATTTGAATCTGCCTCTGTCAGATTTACTGTCCTGTGATCTTGGGTGAGATAGTGTCTTGATCTGTTTTTCATCCTAGCTGCCTAGCACTGGGGCCCGTAAGATACTTAGAAAATAGGAGTGTTGCTGCGCAGCCTGACAAACTGATTCCAATGCTCGGGGTCCACACAGTGAAAGGAAAGAACCAGCCACTGCAAATTGTCCTCTAGTCCTCACATGTGGCTTTTTCCTGTTCCTCCCCACCCAGCAAGATAAGTAAAAATGAAGAAAAGTAAAGTGTAAAACTGTTTATGACCATTGATAATAAGTAGTCACCATACTTCTCTGGGCCTCGTTCTCATTCTTACAACACTATCTTGTGGAGCTGTTGGGAGGATTAAGAACCTTTCATGTGTAGTGTCTGAGTTCCTCTTCCTGCTCAGAGCCCTTCTGGGGCTCCACTTGGTAACTATATACAACTGCACATTCAGGATCTCTATCAGCCTCCCTTCCCCCACCCACCCCACACTACTGCTATGCCGTCCCTCAGAAATGCCCAGTTCCTGCTTTGAGTGGATCTCTTATCTTTTTGAACAGTGATTTTGGTGTGTAGCCAAGCTTAAGAACCATGCTTTAGACCTTGATTTGTGCCCTCCCTCTGCATTATACCCAGGGTGGCTATCTGGAATACCCCTTTCTTCTGGGTTGGTGTATCCGTCTGTTAGGTTTTTATGAATGCAGAGCTGTCTGTAGCTGTGGTTTTCAGATGGATCTTGCTGTTTTATTTTCATAGCGAAGTGATGAAGTTATTTTGAAAAAGGACTGTTTTAAAAACCTAATTCAGCAAGAGTTGTATGTTACTAAGATGCCTTTAGCTCTGCCACATGCTGGGATGGAACAGACAAGAGTAAGGCTCTGAGGAGCTTATTCTTCAGAGGGAGAAATAACTGTGTGGATGGTCAAGGACAAGGAGACTTGGGACATGCTATGCTAGACTACATACAGGAACAGTGCAGACAGAGAAGAGAGCAGTCATGGCCACCCAATAGGCATGGCATTTGGAGCAACCTAAGGGCAGCACTTGACTGCCCTTGGATGAGCCTTGGAAACAGCTAGGACTCTGGGGGTGGAGAGCAGGGTGCTGTTGCATGGAGATACCTAGGAGATGAAACTCTACCCCCCATTTCTGCTATACATTCATCTGGGAATAACTGGAGTGAACAGTTGTAGCCAGAGGGTTTCTCTGGTCCTGCCCGGCCCTGTGGTCAGGACGAATCTCTCCCTCCCATGTCCTGCAGCCACTTGGTCCCAAGTAAACACACACAGGCTTATATTATTTACAAACTGGATGGCCTATGGCTCAGGCTTCTTGCTAGCTAGCTCTTAGATCTTAACCCATTTCTATTAATCTGTGCATTGCCATGTGGCTTCGTGGCTTACTGGTACTTTTACATCTTGCTTCTCCTGGCAGCAGCTCCCAGCTTCTCCCCAGACTCCACCTTTCTCCTTCTTTTCTCTCTTAGATTTCCTGCCTGTCTCTAAGCTGCCTTGCCATAGGCCAAATCAGCTTATTTATTAACCAATGGGAAGAACATATATTCACAGCATACAGAAAGACATCCCCCAGCATTTCTCCTTTTCTATCTAATCAAAAGGAAGGTTTTAGCTTTAATATAGTAAGATGATTATATATAACAAACAGTTATCAAGCAAGAATTACAGTTACAATATCTAGTCTATTTGTATTTGGCAAAATTAAAGAAAATATTTTATCCTATATTTGTGAGTCTAAGGTTTCATATCTAATTTATCTTTTATCATAATCAAGGAAAATTATAACTTTTAGACTTCAACTACATCAAAGACCTCAGAAGGATATAATATTAACTAAGTAAACAAGAAGAGCATTGTAAGCAACTTCCAAAAATCGAGAATTACAGAGACAACTGGCAGACTGACTGGCCTCCCAAGTTTCTCTGTAACGTTGGGGCATCCATCCTTGGCCCACAGGCCTAGCATATCTGACAGACTCATCTGTGAAACAGGATTTTCTAAAGAGCTTTCCTACCTTGTCTTGGCAAGGATCAGCAGTCCTTTCTTTTGTGTCCTGCTTGTCCATTTTGGACAGCATACTGTCAGCAGTTGAGGCAAGGGTATTTTCTTGCCCAATGGCTAACTTTTGCCACAAAGAAAGTAAACTCCATAAGGAGTTTCTTCAATGCCTGTCATCTTCCCTGGAGTAGATTGGTGCTGCCAGGAGCAAACATGTCTCATTATCATAAAAAAAGAAACTATATTATTAAAACTTTTTTTTTTTTGGTTTTTTGAGACAGGGTTTCTCTGTGTCGTTTTGATTCCTGTTCTGGATCTCTCTCTGAAGACCAGTCTGGCCTCAAACTCACAGAGATCTGCCTGGCTCTGCCTCCCGAGCTGGGATTAAAGGCGTGCGCCACTGCCGCCTGGCTTTATTAAAACATTTTAAATGCCATATTCTGTAGATCTTTGAAGTGTTTGAAGATTACCTACCTAATTGAAATATATCTGTGTATACCTAGAAAACTTAACTAACATGACTATAAGTTTGCGATTATAGATGACTATTAATCAATATTTCTTATATATTACATTTTCAAATGAGCTGTACAAATATAATACCTTAAACAAGAGTAGAAATATAGATACAGTATAACAAAATTAACTTTAAATTTGTATCAATAAACTAAAATCCATAGCAATGTAAAACATTTTAAACAAGTTGTTGCTCTTTAAAAGTAGATTCAGGGCTGGAGAGATGGCTCAGCGGTTAAGAGCACTGGCTGCTCTTCCAGAGGTCCTGAGTTCAATTCCCAGCAACCACATGGTGACTCACAACCATTTGTAATGAGATCTGGCGCCCTATTCTGGCAGGCAGAACACTGTATACATAATAAATAAATATTAAAAAAAAAAAGTAGATTCAATAATCTGCCCTTTTATCCTATCTTATCTATATTATCCCCTTTTCTTTTTTAGAAAAAGATTGTATTTATAATCAACCCCTTTTAAATAAAAATAAACATTTATAACAAATTTTGGGAATTTGAGCATAGCTTCTCATATTACTTCCTGCTGATTGGGGGTACTGGCAGTCTTATGGGGATCCTGAGAAAATTAAGAATTATGGTCTGGAGTAGTCTGTGAGGCTGCATTGTCTCAGCCAGTTGCCTTGAAGCTGTTCTGGATGTTGGAACATCTGGAGACCTCTCGGGATCTTCCTTGATCAAACCATATTAACTTGGAAGCAATCCATAAGTTCTCATCTTCTGTGGAAACAAAAGCAGAACCTCTTTTCCAAAGCAATGTATCCTTAGACATAAATTTTGAAGTCAAGATACCTTTAAAATATACACATTGACTTCATTCAGAAACCTTTACAATCAAATGTCTTTCTGTAGTTAAAAATCCCAAAGACAATATAATCCAGACTCTGTGTGATTTCCATCTTTACATGGCTTATTTTTTATATTACTTTTATTGTCTCTTTAAAGACTTGATTTTTTAAAGCTATCTATTCCCTTATATAACTGTTTATCCTCCTTTTCCTTTCTCTTCCAAGTCTATGTACATTTTTACACATATTGTAAACCACTTCGAGTTTTATTCCATCTGAATCTGTCTTATTATGAATCTATAATCCTTCCCTGACCAGGAGAAATTTTAAACTGCTAAGCTTTGTGGCTGAGATTGAAGAGGCAGCCCTGGCTGCTGACTTCACTTTTCAACATGGCAGAGGTACCCAGGAGAGTCATACTTACCCCACCAACTCTGGGGTCCAATCTGCCATCAGGTAGCATGCAGCTGGCCCATAAACAGAAACTTCTGCCCACAAGCAGTGGTGGTCACAGTGGATTGGAATGCCCCTCCTGGTCTGCCAGAGTGTGCTGTAGTGTTAAGGGCCTTTTCTTTGGAGGATTTGAAAGTTCGAAAACATTTACCAGTTAGAATCTCCAGTCCTGTTTTCTAAGGATTGGCTGTCTAGAAGAGTTAGTCTGTCTGCACTTAACCACAGTTTTCCTAATGAGGTGGCTGGCACTGTGGCACGTCAGCCAGCATCATCTTGGGTTGTGGTGGTGATACACTCAGCTGTTTATAGCATCATATTCTCTTATAGTATGGCCGTGTCTTGTGTACTGTGCTTCCTTTGTGCACAAGGACACCAGTACATCCAGGACAGTGGGGGAAAGGGAAAGCTGGTGAGTCAGCTGTCTTTGGAGAAGAGCAGAGCTGTCCTTTCTCTCCAGGGAGGCAAAAAGAGAGGCTTTGGTCAGCTGAGAGGCAGAGGGCAGTCTTGGGGGAGAGACCATGTTTTCTGGTAGGGCTGTCTACTGTTGCATGCAGTACACCAAGGAAGCCCCCTGGGGAAATTCAGAGGCAGGGTCCTCGGTGCTGAGCTAACAGCAGGGCAACCACACACCTCATCCTTGGTGAAAGTGCAAGAAGCAAGGATATCCTGACCATGTCCCCAAGTGCTAACCTGGGCCTCAGGTGATTGATTGCCAGGCTTCGGTGGATCTAGTCACATCATTTCATAACATTAACAGGGGAAGTGTGTGTTTATCCTTAGTGTCTTAAATTTTACTATTCTCTGAAATCCTAAAGACTTGGAACTCAACTAGATGACTAATGTCTGTGATGCCTTCTGTCTTTGAGATTGGGAGGCCCCCCTTCTTACTCAGCTGCCATCTACAGGAAAGGGAGGCCAAGTTTCTTTATGAGTGAATACTGAGGTTTGAGTCCACATCAGAAAGTTTATTATAAGAGTGATTCAACTCAGATGGTACTTTTACAAGTACTTCGTATTTATGTATTTATTTACTGGGGGCACTTGTACCACAGTGTATGTATGGAGGTCAGAAGACAGCTCTCAGGAGTCAGTTCTCTCTTTGCACCATGAATGTGGGTCCTGAGGATTAAATTCAGTATATTAGGCTTGGAGGCAAGTGCCTTTAGCTGCTGAGCCACCTCATAGGACCAGATTTTACTTCTTTTTTTCTGGTGAGATTTTTCTCTTAAATACTTTATCTTAACTTAAAAGTTATTGGAGCCGGGCGGTGGTGGCGCACGCCTTTAATCCCAGCACTCGGGAGGCAGAGCCAGGCGGATCTCTGTGAGTTCGAGGCCAGCCTGGACTACCAAGTGAGTTCCAGGAAAGGCGCAAAGCTACACAGAGAAACCCTGTCTCGAAAAACCAAAAAAAAAAAAAAAAAAAAAAAAAAAAGTTATTGGAAACAAGATTCTTTTTTTGCTAATATCTTCAGCAGAGTTTTATTAGCACAGGCTTTGAAATCAGCAGATAAACCTGAATTAGGCCAAATGTGGTCATGCATGCCTTTGATCTCAGCACTCAGGAGGCAGAGGTAGGCATATCTCTGTGAGTTCAAGGACAGCCTGGTCTACATAGTGAATTACAAGCTAGCCAGGGCTACGTAGTGAGACCAGGTCTCAGGAAACGAAGAACAACATCAAAACCCCAGTGAATTAGCTCTCCCAGTCTGTGACCCAAGGCCTCATCAGCTGACTCTGTGAAATGCAGTGCAGCTCTATAAGCCTTGAGTTCAGCACTGTGTGCAGCCTCGGAGCAGAGCTCTGATCTCTGTTCATAGCATTATCATCACTGCTTGGCACAGTTTCTGCAAACACAACTGCAGATGTTTTTAAGACATGCTCTGTGCACTTCAGATACCATAGCGTGGCTACAGTCTGCTAAAAATAGAAGGTATGGATTGATGCCCAAAACAGCAGGGCCAGGGCTCCTGGCTCATCTGCACAGATTGCCTACATGCACTACAGCTTGGTTGTGGGGTTTTTGTGGAAAGCATTCTATCAGTTCAATTTTATCTATTTGTACGATTTGTCACCCTGGTGTGTGCTACTGTGTGTGGGAAAGATACTGATTTTCATTATGTATTTCCATGTGAGATGGTAAAGACACATTAAGGTTTTTGTTGCTGTTGCTTTCTTTTGTTGTTTGTTTTACTTTGGCTTTTTGAGACAGTCTCCCTATGTAGTCCTGACTGCCCTGGTACTTGGTAGTATCCCTGGTTTACCTCAAACTCATGGTAGTCTTCTGAGTGCTGGAATTACAGGCCTGTATTACCACATTCATCAACTACTGCTTGTCAATACTGTACATTGGAAGAGCATTGGGTTACATTTGCTTTGAAATAAGTAATACTGCTAGGAGTGGGGGAATGATATCCTTGCTATAAATCCCTCCAACGGTGTTTCATCACAATGCATATTTACTGTACCTTGAGTGTACAGAGGGTTCTGTCTGGCAGTAGAGCAGGTGGTACCATTCAGATTGTTGTGTGGGTGTATGGCATTGGTTTTCTGAAATGTGGGTGTTGCTGACTAAAGCAATTAGTATTTGAGATCCAGCTCTCTGAAGACAGGTATCCCAGGTGGCAGCGTGGCTGCCTTGTTGACTGTTCAGGACATGTCAGTTTCTTGTGATTTGCAAAAGCAGAGAAGACTTGCACCCCACATGACCAATACTAACCAGCCCAACCATGGCCCTGGGCAACTGTTCTGATCACCAAAGTCTCAGTTTTTTAGTTAGAAAAAGGAATACCAATTGCCAGTGGATATAAAAACCTAGTTAGAATTTCATCATGTGGATTTTGCTGTTGGCATTCGCTATGGTCTTGTTATTAATAGTCACTATAAAGCAGGTTGTTTACCAGTGTTCTGCCAAGATCCCTCTGGTTATTGAAAGTTGCAGTTTTCCCTCAGCTGTGTTGATCGCAGTCTTGAATGTAGTGCCTAATTGAGGCTTCCCCGATCAGATTCCACAGACAGCATCTTTCCGTATCTGTGAGCTTTGACGCACAGACGGCTATAACCCAAACTGTCTTCGCATTTTGTTGAAGGCAACTTGCAGAGGTAGAGTGAGTTTGTCAGCTAACTGTTGCTTATTCTCCCTTTGGGCTCTGTTGTGCACTGCATTGTGGCCCCTAGGCATCTTTGTTTGTCACTGTGGGCCTTTTTGGCAGGAGGACACTAACCGCTTGAGCTGTTCAGGTGTAGTGAGGGAAGGCTTTGCCTCTCAGCCCTAATTTGGAACATTTCCAGGGGGCATTTGTAACATGGGAAGCATTTGCAGCTCTGCTTTCACTGTTTTAGGTAATTTCTGATTTCATACTGAGTGTGTGGAAGTCTAGGTGCAAAACCCCGCTAGCTTCACAAGGTAGGGATGCAAAGATCCTGCAGTGCGGCCCTGCTTCTCCCGAGATGCATTCACGCACAGAGGTGAAAATGAAAAGCTGGCCAGGCAGAGCCAACCTTCCTGCCAGAGGACACACTTTCTGGAAACATCTTTTGCCCTTTTGAACAAATTCGTTCGTTTGAGAAAGAAGTCATGAGCACTGAAATAAGCCCCACAAGTGCTTAATTCTCCATATGACCCTGCATGTGGGTGTTCCAAATTAACTGTATCAAGGTCTGCTTAAAATTAGGCCTGGAAACCCAGATTCCTCCCCAGGGTAGCCCAGCCTTTTACAAGGGAGGCATCACAGAGTGGACACCAGTGTGAGGCCACAGCGGGCTCCTTGTGCGGGGGGTGCTGCCCTTCACCTTATGCACAGCTTCCTGTCTGCCCTTTACTGGATGTGGTGGGATCAGCCAAGTTTGCCAGGTCCCTTTGAACTCCTGTGACTCTGCTTCTCCATTACTGGTGTGTCTCTCGTCCTCTTGTAGGCAGGCAACCTCCAGACTCACTTACGCCGGCACTCTGGGGAGAAGCCGTACATCTGTGAAATCTGTGGAAAGAGGTCAGTGCTGGGCTTGAGGTGCCACATGTGAAGGACTGTGGGTGGCCCAAGTCTTTGCAGTGTCGCGTCACTGGCCACCAGGGCTCACACAACCATGGCAGAGCACAAGTGCATTCACTCTGCAGCACATGAGAGAAGAAGAAGAAGAAGGAAAGCTCATGGAGAGCAGGAAAATCTAGGTTGGGGCCCCAGGAAGGAAGTCGGCTTTACAGGAAACAGATTAGTTTACGTCAAAATGTTCATTCTAAAAACATCCCCAAGGAGGAGACTGTCTAGTCAGGGAAACAGTGCCTGCAGCCTGAGTGACTAGACATCCAGAGATAAGGCGACAGAGGGTACCGAAGCGGTGTTATCAAGCCAGGCTGCTGGCTTCAGGACAGAGTCAGTGACACTCAGCCCTGGCAGGTGAGCTTTGACCTGAAAACGGAGTGTTGGCATGGCAACAGGGAATCAGCCCATGTTGGTGGGTTGACACCTGTGCAGTGATTCCTTCACAGGGCCTGGGTAAGCGAGGAGCTTGTCCATCCCTCCTGTGTGCACGGGCCACAGCCTCAGCCCTCGATCCTCTTGCTCAGTAACAGTCCCGGAGCATCTTCCTTCACCATCCTGCCACTGTGCTAGATCTGCAGCCTCCAGCAGCAGCCTTGGAAGCCATAGGCATCCCCATTGCTCCGGGCCTGGATTCCATCGTGTAGTTAGTTATTCAGTCATCCAGGGGCCACCAGTTACTCCCACCATCTGCTCAGTGCTGTGAGGGAACACAGACGTCAGTAGCTCAGATTCCCTGCCCTTCTTCACAAGTCATCCTTGCAGTGGCTGGAAGGTTAAAAATTCTAGGAGCGTAGCAGAGGGGAAATCAAGCCTCAGTGGGTTTGGGGAGCATGCCTGCCTCTGCCTTGGGAAAGGGAACAAAGCAAAGACTGCTGTGCTGACCACAGCTCCCTCTGTTGGAACTACCTGAACATAAAGCCAAGTTCTAGGTGGTATTCTCTGGTCATGGCAGGTGCCCAGCAGCCCAGACAGAACTGCTTCACATGCTGCCACTTCCCATGGGCTCCTGGGTGTATTTTGCAGTGTTGAAAATTAGGATCTTGGCAATTCCATGTAAGATCTTTTCTATGGCTCACCTTCCTTGGAACAACCTACCCACCTTCACAGGGGGCAGCCAGGAAAGAGTGTAGCTCTCCACATCATGGGTGAGAGGTCCTTGTTGCCTGCCCAAGCTCAGGAGCATCTCCACACTCACTGTGTTTCCCATCCCGAAGGTGGGGTGACAGGGCCTCCTGTAGTGTGGAGACACATCTGGAAGGCACCATCGTCAGACACCAAACATAGCTGCTCCATGAACACTAGTCCCTTCTCTGTCTCCAGCTCTGTCCTCTGTCTTAGGATGGATGTGTGTGGGTCTCCAGTGTGGCCTAGAGGTGAACGAGCTCATTTTCTAGGATGGGTGAAGGAGGGCCAGACTGTCTGTATTTCACACTAGGTTCAGCAGAGCTGGCTTCATTGCCAAGACCATGCAGAGTCACCCTGTGCTCTCCAACGTGAGCCTTGGGCTGGCACACCACATGGAGTGTTTCTCACAAGTGCAGTAATCCAGCAGGATGTGAGCACCACAGGGCTTCATGTTCCTCTGAACTGGGAGACTGGCCAGTGAGATGGCTCAGAGAGTAAAGGCGCTTGCAGCCAAGCCTGGTGACCCGAGTTAGTTTCTGGGAGCCATATGGTAGAAGAAGAACTCCCCCCCCCCCCCCAGTTGTCTCTGACCTCCACGTGCATGCTGCAGTGTCCATACATAAGGTAATAGAAGGTGAACTGTGGCTTCTCACTTACTGCTGGCCTTCCAGTCTTGTACTGTTGGAAACTGGGAAGAGTGTGATGATGCAAGCAGGAAGTGCCTTTAAATCAAAACACTGCATCACTAGAAAGGGTTTTCCACACCAAGCAGGCCACACCAAGCAGGTGGAGGAGTCTCTCTCCTCTGAATGGTCCCAGTTATCAGGGTCTCAGCAGTGTCGCCAGTCTCCTGATAGGACTTTGCACTTCCTTGCAGGTTTGCGGCCTCTGGTGATGTCCAGCGCCACATCATCATTCACTCTGGAGAGAAGCCACACTTGTGTGACACATGCGGCCGAGGTATTGCTGAGTGAGCGAGTGTTGTTCTCCCGATGTTCTCAGGGTCACTGCTCCAGGTTCCTGCCTGTCAGCCTAACCCCTGCTGTGGTCTGTCTAGGGTTCAGCAATTTCAGCAATTTGAAGGAGCACAAGAAGACGCACACAGCTGACAAGGTGTTCACCTGTGATGAGTGTGGGAAGTCCTTCAACATGCAGAGGAAGCTGGTGAAGCACCGTGTGCGGCACACGGGTGAGCGGCCCTACAGCTGCCCTGCCTGTGGTGAGTGTGACACTGGCCAGCCGGCAAACTCACCCCTCCTCTGCAAGGCCGAGTTGCCCACTCTGCTGTTGACCGCCCTAAGCCACTGTTTTCTCAGAGACTGAGGGAAAGTGGCCCTTCCTTTGCCTCCTCACAAGAGTGATACCACATACCAGACACTGCGTCTTTGAGGTATCAGGAACTGACTTTAATGCTCCAAATACAAAGCAATTCAAAGCCCCACCACCAAGAGCTGGCAGTCCCAGTGGGAAGGGATGGAGTGACGGAGCACACTTTGGGAGCAAAGGGCATGCTTCTTGGAGTCACAGATTAGACAGCAAAGGGCCTGTCGAGGCCTCAGCGAGGGCATTGATGGAAGTGGAGAGCAGGTAGCTTTCTATCTCAGGTGCCTTGCCACACAGATGAAGACCAAGAGCTTGGTATCTGTAGTTTGCGACCACTGCGTCGAATCGAGAGTCGTGCACCCCCCAGGCACTTGAGGACTGCGTGTGCCCATGTACCCGTTCTGTGTGTCGGCTTGACAGTGCTGACGGAGCTGTGATGAGCAGGTGACTGGAATTGACAGTGCTCTGTTCCGAGCAGTGTAGGAGGTGCTTAGAGCACACCTGGATTAGGTTCTGCTGAGGCCTGGGACTGCAGCTGGCATCTGGCAGCACAGAACCTTGGGAATGCAGCCAGGATTTCTTTCCCTTCTCTATTTTGACAGATCTAGTGAACGCCACTGTCCTGCTAACTGAAGTCAGGTTTCACTCCTCTTCATAGTAACTCCGTATGACTAGTTTATACATACTAGGGACGCTACAGAGGTGGTGCCAGCCTCCCAGTAATTCCAGGGAGAGTTACCTTAACGGTGCAATAGAGCCCAAGCGTCTACATTATGGCCAGAGATGGCAGGGAGCAGAAGCTGCTAGGACACACAGTAGTAAAGGAGGAGCCAGGAAACTGCCAACCATCGACTACCGCAAACACATTACCAAGACAACACATAAAACTGAGACGATGCCTGACATAACATTAATGTGAAAATTCCGAACCTGGGTAAGACATGGGGTGGGTCACAGGCAGTGAGCTGTTAGTGGGTGCTGGTTCGGGTTTACATGGAAGTCAGAGTTTTCTTGCTTGGAGAGTCCGATCTAGTTGGATTGTTCAAAGGCATTCTTCCTTGCACCCTACCCCACATGCACTTGTTGCTTAACGAGGCCTAGGTAGCTGAAATCAAAGACATTCAGTGCGAAGTTCTCAGTATGTCCAGTGTGCATGAGGATGTTTCCCTTGAGGGAGTTCTCGACACATTAAAGCCTTTGCAGTTACCTGCTGATTTCCGGCTTCTCACGGGAGACAGGCTGAAGGACAAGTGTGTGCACATCTTTGGTACGTGCTGACTGCACAGACATCAGGAAAGGGATGCTCCTAGGCTGGCCACGGTGCACTGCTATAGTAACAGTCACTCCCACGGGCTGCCACCACCACTGTTCCTGACGGAAACCAGGGAGGAAAGATAGTGTGGGCTGAAGGTCTCCTTCAAAGGTCCAGCCCTGATAACTCACCTTCCCCAGCTGGGCCCCATCTCCAAAAGCTCCACATCCTCCCGAACAGCATCATCAGTTGGTGGCATTAAGGGACATTGCAGGCTCAAATGACAGCGACATAGCACAGAAGTAGCACTGCTGAGGAGGGCTGGGTTTCCGCAGGTGAGGGAGCAGCCGCTGGCTAGCACTGAGACAGACCCTAGACGACTTGTGCTGAGTCTCCAGCTGCAAGGGACCTCATCCAAAGTGAGGGTGCCGTGGACCACCCTGAGATCATCCTTCCATTTCTAAAGTCCCCCGTTCTCTCCTCAGGGAAGTGCTTTGGGGGCTCAGGAGACCTGCGCAGGCACGTCCGAACTCACACCGGGGAAAAGCCTTACAGCTGTGAGATCTGCAGCAAGTGCTTTACGCGCTCCGCGGTGCTGCGTCGGCACAAGAAGATGCACGGCCGAGCCGATGCCAGGAGCCCAGCTGTGCTGGGTGAGCTGAGCCAGGCCATCGAGACCTCTGACCTGGAGAGGTCTCAGAGCTCCGACTCCTTCTCCCAGGACGTGTCCGTCACACTGATGCCTGTGTCTGTCAAACTCCCTGGGCACCCAGTGGAGAGTTCTGTGGCAGCATTCGATGGTCACTGCACTGGCTCCTACTGTAAGTTACGCTCCATGCTCCACCCTCCTGGCATGAGTGACCAAGACAAACTGGGCCTGGATCCTGCCAAGCTGGCCAAGCCCCAGGAGCTGCAGAACCAGCCACATGCCTATGCTTACTCAGATGTGGACGCCTCAGCAGGTGCTGAGCAGTCACAGGCTGATGGCATGGCTGTGACCCGCTCTTCCTTAGCCACGCTGGACAACCACTGCACCGAGCCGCTGGGCAGCCGGGCATCTTCAGTGACTTACAGGAACTCTGAGGGACAGTTTTTCTCTAGTATGACCCTCTGGGGGCTAGCAATGAAGACCCTGCAGAATGAACATGAGCTAGAGCAGTGATGTGCCGTCGCATAAGACTGGAGAGAGACACCCTGCCCAGGACAGCCTCCTGCAGCTCTGGAGAATGGCTAGATGGTTTCCCTCCCAGGGGCTGCTGGGAGCTCCATGGATGGACCCAGGAGTTGCTAGCCCCCTGCTGGTCCCAGGGGCAGATGGTTTGGGGAAGTCTCCACAGCAGCCTGGGCCCTAGGGTATGGGACCAGCTGATGTACATCAGTGTGGCAGTGCACCTTACGTCAGCCACTGTACATTTTCGTCCTGTTAGATGTCATATGTATACATAAAAATACAGATTTTATTTTTACATTTTTATAAGAGAAATTTTTAGCATCTTATATTTTTAAATATTTATACAGATTCTATTTGTATAATGAACTTGTAATATAATTTGAATAAATGAGCTTTCTTTTCTATATAATGTTTTATATTTTGTAATTTTTCCCAGGACTTTACTCTATTTTTTTAATGCAGGGTTTCACCATGTATTCCTGACTGACCTCAAACTGTCTAAGTAAACCAAAGAGAACTCCAGAGATCCACTTGTGTCTGCCTCTCAAGTGCTAGAATTAAAGGCATGTGTTACCATGCCCAGTTCTCAAGCATTTTTATTAATCTGAAGACCTTAGTACTATAAAAATACATATCAATGCAGAAGACCCTGGGTTTGAGTCTCAGCATCACCCAGAAATGACATAAATATCACTGACGTGGCTGTATTAAGCCAAGTCATTGGCTTAAATGTAAGACTTAAATGAGTCCCGTCATGTCACCAGCCTGGCGTGGGGGCCTCAGAGTCCTCTGAACATCCCAGCTCCTGGCAGCCACTTCTGGGTAGGTCATAGCCGACTCTTGGCCACCCAGGATCTTCTCTTGGCTGGCTTGTTTCAGAGTGAGATGAGCCCTTTACAGGCCTGAAGTCTAGCCCCTGCTTGCAAGTCCCGGTCAGCTTCCAGCATTAATGGAGCTCCTTAGGCATGAGTTTACTCCGTCCCTCAGGCCTGAGGGACTGATGACATGTCCACGGTACTGTCTCTGGGATGTCCAAGCAAACATGGGAACGGCTGCCTTGTAGCATGCAGTGGATTACCTGTTGGAGTCTTTGAGAGCACCCTCTAGCAACTCTAACTCAGAAAAACAGTGTACCTGCAGAGAGAACCTGGCAAGGACAGGAGGATGCCACAGCGAATAACCAGGCCCAGAGAACTGTCAACCATGCGTGACATCAGGTTCCCCTCCCGGTTTCCAAGCCACTCACTACACCATGGTTCCCCGAGGGTGGCTCAGCAGACAGAACCAGAGCTTTATGAGGGTTGAGCAGCCTGTCCACGGGCATGCCTAAGTGTGGGTGCTTTGAATAAAACGTGTGCCTGGGTTGAACTTGGATGAAGTGTGATGGTTGCTGGTGAATGTCAGCCCCTTACATCCTTCCCCTTCCTCCCATCTCCCACTGCCTTGATAGCTTCTCATTCCAGTAGCTCTTGGCCTCCATGGGTCATATTGTCCTGTAATCCCTCATCTCATCCTTACAGATCCCTCTTACAGGCTACATGCCACAGTCCTCATGTCACAACTCCCTCAGCAGGCCATCCATCACACTGATGGGACAATCCATCTCTGCCCTCTGTGTACCCAGCTATGAGAAGTGGTCCTTTGGTTTCTAGACAACACTTCCACTGAGCCCTTGTCCGTCTCACAGCCATCATGTGCTGCCCTTCCTGGCATTCTCCTCCAGCTCCTTGGGCTCTTGGGCCTGTCCCTTCATCACACCTCTGTCCTTGCTTGCTATGGTTCCGAGAACACAGAAGCAAACAGGAACTTTCAACTCCCACTGTGTCTACACCTGTTGACCATACTCAGTTCAGCTGCAGCTCCCCCTCCCCCCCCCCCCACACACACATCTCCCCGCATCATCACTCAGGATGTGGTGAGTCACTGGTGCAGGCCTTTGGTTTCCTTGCAGGGATGTAAGCCTAGAGAATGTTCTGAGCAGTGCTTCAGACACTCAGTACTTACTTAGAAAGCTGCTTTTTTTTTAAATTGGAATATGGCCACCTAGATTGATCCTCTGGTTTTCCCTTGAGCCCTGGTCATTTAGATCTTTGTCCCATTACTCCATGAAATGTTTTTTCCTCAGGTCACCAGTGACCTCTCCATTGCAACTCACAAATGGATTCTCAATCCCCAACTCAGGTAGACCTGAGCAGCATGTCCACCTTTCTTCCTAGGGCTACTCCTTTCTCTGGTGAGTGGCTCAGTCTCAGAATCCATCCTTGCTGACTCCAACCCACATCCCATCATCAAGTGTCCCAGAGCCCAGGCCCTGGATTCTCCCCTCCTCTTCCTTGCCCACTCTCTAGATAGCACAACTACGGACTACAGGTCTTTTTGCTCAAGACCTCTTATCCGGACCTCTCAGAACTCTAGAGTTATATGAGTGCTTGCTGCTCTTACAGAGGACCCCAGTTCAGTTCAGTTCTGCATTGGGATGCTCAAAATCACCTGTATGTAACTCTAGCCCCAGGGGTATCCAATACCCTCTCTGCCCTCCGCAGGCACTGCATTCACTTGCACACATACAGATAACAAAAAGGTCCGGTGAAAGAACAGTAGCTAGGATTCACTTGGTGAGACCCTCTGCAATTCCCTGTACTTATGAGCTGCTCCAACACCCCAGCACCATAGCACTGTTCTTATGCATGGGATCACCTTCTTCCAGATACTTGCCTCCGATACAAATGCATTTAGACATTTTCCCAAGTGATCACACAGTGACCTTAGCCTGTCATAATTTGTCACTGATGTCGACCCCTGTCATAAACATCTGTGGAAGCACAGCCAGGGGCAAGACACTTGGGGTCCCCTATACAACTCTCTTTGCCACCCTTGCAAAATTAAATTTTTATTTTAGAAATCACTCATTGTAATACTTGCCATGTGCAAGTTTTATGATGTGTAAATGAAGCTGGGAAAAAAACTATGAAAAACAACCCCAAAAAGTCTGTTGGTGCCAGCGTTCTGAATGTCTGTGTAACGAATTCCTTGGTCCAGTGTCCTGTCAGCTTGATGATGTCTGTCTGTGACAGCTGGTACTCACCTACTACCTCTGCCCTGGCCGCTTTGTGCAGGTTTCCATTCAGCCAGCAGATGGCAGCAGCATCCCCTCAGAAGCATGTCTGGGCCTCAAGTCAAGTGCTAAGGCCTAAGGCTACTCGGGCCTGGGAGCTGTAGCATCCTTGCTGTTCTCTCCACATAACAAAGCACATTTGCTCACCTTAGCCTCCTCAAGCCCTCCTGCAAGCCTGTGGGGAGACAGCAGTCCTGCCCCCGCCCCAAGAGGGAAGTCATATGCTTGGTTATTTTTCAAGCTTGTTGGGTGTTGTCCACAACTCTGGGTCTAGTATCCACACTGGAGGATTCCCTTGGGGATGACTCAGACTGGGGAATGTTCCTAGCAGTGTTTGGGACTTCAGATGTTCAGTACTTACTTGGCCAGGGGATGCTCCCAGGAGGATACTCCACACACGCAGTCTGACCTTGCACAAGGTCCTTGGGGTTCTGGTTGGGCCAAACAAAGGAAACCATAGGTGTGAGGGCTGGAGATGTAGCTCACTGGGCCTAGCATGCCCAGAGTCCTGGGTTTAATCCCCAGCATTGAAGAAAACAAATGGTTCTGTGAACCTGGAGCTGTGGGAACAATGCCAGACAGAAAGGGCCATATACTGCATGTACTAGATAGTTATGTGATTCTCTGTAAACCATCCAGATCAGACGCGTCCAGAAGGAAAGAAAGTAGATAGCTTTTGCCAGGTATGGGCAGAATGGAAAAACGAATGCTCAGTGGGCCCAGGGTTCTGTTTAGGGAGGTTAAAAACATTCTGAAATTAGCTAGTGTTTATTTAGGATGAGTTGTGCTGATGTCCTAATTTATGCCCCTCCCCGCAAACTATCTGGAGACAAGTCCTTTGCGGAGGAATGTAGGTTTGAACAGGTCATAGGGGTGAGACCAATGCCATCGATGTCCTAGTAAGGGATCGTGGTGGTATCCATCCCCCCATCCCTCCCCTCTGCCTCTCTCTCCTGCTGGGCAGTATGGGAATTATAGAGAAGTGAAATCGCTGAGGTCAGATACTGTTGTCCAGCCTGGTGCAATGGGTTCAGAGAGACCTGCCACCACCTTGGCTCTCCCTCACTCTCCTCCTGTGCAAGATGCAACTAGAGTGACTTTGCCTGCTTCACAGGGTTAGAGCTGATGACCCGGGAGGCCAGACTAGAGCCTGCAGGGCAAGTGGAGGACCAGGGTGCTCCTTGCCATTGCTCTTTCATGGGGTGACAGGAGAGTGGCACTCACCCCTCTTCTGCTCACTGATGTCCTCCCTAGCCCTGCAGTGGTACCCAGCACATGACAGACATGGAACAGTCATGGAAACAGAGAGTGGAGCTGGTGTTTGTGGTAAACAGCCTTCTCTCTGTGACACTTGTTCAAACAGCCAGTGACATTCTGACACAAAATCCAAGCAAAATCTAGTTACTGCTATGGGCCGGACACACACCACCACCTCCACCACCATCACCACTACCACCACCACCACCACCTCCACCACCACCACCATCACCTCCACCACCACCACCACCTCCACCACCACCTCCACCACCTCCACCACCTCCACCACCTCCACCACCTCCACCACCACCTCCACCACCTCCACCACCACCTCCACCACCTCCACCACCACCTCCACCACCACCTCCACCACCACCTCCACCACCTCCACCACCTCCACCACCATCACCACTACCTCCACCACCTCCACCACCACCTCCACCACCTCCACCACCTCCACCACCTCCACCACCTCCACCTCCACCACCACCTCCACCACCTCCACCACCACCACCTCCACCTCCACCACCACCTCCACCACCACCACCACCACCACCTCCACCATCACCTCCACCACCACCTCCACCACCTCCACCTCCACCACCACCACCACCACCACCATCACCACCTCCACCACCACCTCCAACTCCACCACCACCTCCACCTCCACCACCACCACCACCACCACCACCACCTCCACCACCTCCACCACCACCTCCACCACCACCTCCACCACCTCCACCACCATCACCATCACCTCCACCACCATCACCTCCACCACCTCCACCACCTCCACCACCTCCACCACCTCCACCACCACCTCCACCACCACCACCTCCACCACCACCTCCACCACCACCTCCACCTCCACCTCCACCTCCACCACCACCACCTCCACCTCCACCACCTCCACCACCTCCACCACCTCCACCACCTCCACCACCACCTCCACCACCTCCACCACCACCTCCACCACCTCCACCACCACCTCCACCTCCACCTCCACCACCACCTCCACCACCTCCACCACCTCCACCACCTC